GAAACTAGTTGGTATATTTTTGATTGTTTATTTATGATTATAGGTAAATGACAGAGTCATCTAGGAAGGAGTTCTAGGATTCAGAATTAAATAAAGTAGTATTGGGATTTTATTGGTTGTGTTATGTTGTTTTTATGGTGATATATGGTTTCTTTCAGTGACATTTACACTTTTGTCTATGAATACAGAGAATGACATATGAACAGTCGAGAATTACAGAGTCCATCTGTCGGGAACGACATATGAACTGTTCGGACGTAACGTTGGTGTTTTGCTTGTGAATTGTTGTCTCATGAAAATCAATTTTTCATTTTGACAAACTATCAGTCGAAGCTAATGGAGCCAAAATGATCGTCTAAGTTTATAATGAAAATAACGTATTCATCCCGTTTGTGCTAATGGAATCGTAATGATCGATACTTTGCTAGTGGAAAAAAAGGAACAATTTTTTGTTGGCATATGATAATAACAACAAATTAATAACATAAGTTCGAAATGTATACTGCACAGGGGAACATTTTTTAAATTATGTTTGACTACCACTTTTTCACATCATGCTTGTTCACGTGGCTTGTGATATAATGGGGTTTGAACATGTGGTCCGATTATGACAAACTCTCTCACATCGAGTTCATTTCCTAAGTTGGGTAGTAGACTCGTATCTGGTTCGCTTACGTTGCGTGGGTGGTCTACCTGGAGAACAACATACAGTAGGTGACAAAATACGAGTACCTGTTATTTCGTTCGGAACTACCTAGTCCTCTTCTCGCGTAATGGGAGATATTGCTTCCATATAGGCACCCTTCCAGTATTTCATTCGTCATCCACATAAGCAAACTTTTCTCATGCGGCACGATAAATCTCAATTGATTACTCATACCTAAAATGTTGGGATTGCAATGGTAAGAATTCAAAATCAATATGTTGACATTTAATAACATGAAAGTGGCACTGCATAATACGAAAATTCCTACAATAGCAAAAGGTCAAATCAAGGGCTCTCATCGTTTTGAAGCGTCCAAATTGACAGTAAAATTGTATATCCTGACAGTTTGTAAATGTCGGATTCGACATTTCAAACGTCTAACCCGATGGTTTGTAAATGTCAAATTCGACAGTTGAACTATCGAAAATGTCAAGAAGCAGACGGCAGTGAGTGGAACTCAGGCTTCTTTAACATAGCACATTAAGTGTGGTCATTACTATTAAGCTACCAAATGACAAAATGAAAATATTAGATTGACTTTGTCATTAAAGAAACATTTAATGAAAACGGTGTTCGATTTGAATGGAAGAAATTACTCAAAATCTTAATGGTGATAATGACATTTTGTGAAAGACTCCAAGACCAAATAAATCAATGCATAATAGTTTCAAAAATTTCAAATGAATATGCCCATATTGTATTTAACATTTATATAAAAAAAAAAGCTATACGAGTAAAATTTAAATAATTTGTAATTACTAACCTCTCAAAATGGATGAAGAATGCATCAGAAATATTTTCTTGAACAATGAAAATGAAGAAGATGGAGAAAGTAAGGGTTTGTAGTTTATGTTTCATTTTTAAATTTTCTTTACCCTTTTTATGAACAAAAATTCATATTAATCAATAAAATACACATCTATCTATGTTTTATATATAGAAATTAAATCATCACATCAAATCAATGCTTTTCTTTCAAATCAAGCATTAAAACCTACTAAAAGTGTGTCATTAAGGGTAATTTTGACTTTTCATCATAAAAAAGTGACATTTTTGCTCACATAAAGTGAAAATGACAAATTTTTAAAAACTTTCATTTTTTGTGATATTTTTGTAAGTTCTCCTAAAATAAATTGATGCTAAATGGTACAAATACTCCCGGAGTAAAGACGATTCGCCGCTTGCACTTTACCCCTAAAATTTCAAATAAGTGGATCTTGAAGATTTTTGCCACCTTTTCTCCTAATGCCTGCACTCTGCTCCATTTGTAAAAACCCTAGAACCCACCGCCATTTCCCAATTGAAAATCATCCTCATAGACTAATAGCAATAGTTTAATCACAACGACAATGGCTGGAATATTGAAGCCCCCGGGGAATTTCGCAGTAACTCCCCACAAGGTTTCCATATGCATTTTAATACAAGTCTACGCCCCGCCTTCTGAAATATCCGTTCCCTTCCCCTTCTCCTCCGTTGCTCATCATAACTCTCTCGGGATTTTCCTTCTATCCCTTACTAAGGTAACAATGAATGGCCTTATATACCGGCCTTATATACTTACTTTTCCTTTGTTATAATACTCGGTTGAGTAAAGAGTTTCACACTTTTTGATTTTGTAGGCGTGTGACAGTATTTTTGAGCCGTCATTGGATGAATTAATAGCTCAATTAAGAGAAATTGGTGGGCTATTAAATCATTGGTTGAGCGATCATTTGACTCGTAGACTCTCGTCTTTGACTTCACCTGATGACTTGTTTAACTTTTTTAATGACTTGCGAGGTGATGTTTTGGTCATTTGATTGTTGTTTTAAAGGAATTAGGATAATAAAAATAATTGATGATGCAGCAAGGTGCAATTTTTTATTTTTATACTCCCAGTAGTTGGAGCTGATATTGTACACGACACAGAGCTGAAGCATATTGTACAATATTAGGTACTGGGTTGTACCTTGGTCTGACATTGTCATTGAAGTGTCCCACTCGATAATTGCTAAAGAGATTGCGTTTTGTTTAAGTAGGGATACTTGGGGGCTCTGATGCCAATGTTGTTGACGATGATCAGATTGTGTTGGATCCCAGTAGTGCTCTTGGAATGTTCGTTAGGCGTTGCTTACTTGCCTTCAATGTCATGTCATTTGAGGTATTGAATTTATAATTTGTAGGCCATTATCTTTTTGAAGGGTGCTACTCAAATTATTGTTTAACATCTTTCGATATGCGTGTCTGAAATAACTAAATTTCATGGCAATTTGGATGCTTATACTTACCAATATCATATCTACTAGATTAGTGATTGTTACTGGTCATATAACTTACTAACCAACTAAAGGGGTGAATGCAATGGCTACTAAAGAAAAAAGTTCAGAAAACAAAAAGAATCTTGCCATATTAAGGCTGGAAGTGTTTTGAAAATTTCTAGTGGTTGCGAAAGTGTCACCTGAACTTTATTGGGAGCCTCTTGGTAGTACTCTGTCTTGTTAATCCCTGGAAGTGCATGTTATGCTAAAACAAATCTTTTTCTCATTCTTAATGCTATTTACTGGGATGTATTATGTAGCGAGAAACATGTTTACGGTGCTTTATAATATGCCCAATTAATGCAAGACAGCTTTCAGTTTCCAGGAAAGAGGCAAATGTCATTTATCTGCAATTTAAGTTGTTTTAATGACAATAGACACAATGATTTATATGTAAAAGCGCACTCTTGCTACGTTGAATCTTTAGTGCATATTACAGCTCTCAGGGATATACCGATATTATATGTCCAAGAGAGCCTATTTTGTTGTATACTATTACTTGGACAATTGTAGCTAATTCAGTTGTTTAATCAGTTTAGGAGTATCAGATTTTTTACTTTGATGGGTTTCACTTAACAATTATTTTTTCTGGGCAGGGTGTTTGTCATCTTTTATCTAATATAGGGACATATTGTAAGGAATCCCTTTCAGATTGTCCGCCTTTCGAGTTATCACATTTAGATGATTCTAGTAATGATCCAGAATTAGAATACGAGAATATGGAGTTGGAGAATTTTGTTTTCGAGAAAGTTAATGAAGAATTTGAAGCCAGGAAATTGGCAAATGAAAGAGTTTCTTTCCATAGTCATGCTCCTGGAGCACTTTTTGAGTTAGTTGAAGGTATTGCTACTGAACATCACCGCATATTGATTATCGTCTTTAGACACACGTGTCAAAAGTTCTTTATGAATTGCTTTCAATTGAAATAAGAGGCATTTAAACAGTACTTATCAATATTTGGGTTTTGGTTGCTCAATATCCATGGTCATAAATTTTTATCCTTGGAATGACAGAATGTATTGTTGAGAACTGTATATCATTATAGCTCGTCTTTTTTTCTGCCTCTTGTCAAGTATTATTTCACCATAGGTATTACATCCTGCAATTGTACAGGATGTTTTGATAGTTGCCATTCTTTTTCTCTTTCATTTTTTTTTTTAATTTGCCTGCATAATGTATACATAGAAATTAGAGGACTTAGCCCCCCGGGGCACAACTCAGTGGTGTGAAGGATGAGTGAGATAATCTCAGCGTTGCTGACAGCTGCAGTGTGAGGGTTCGATTCATGAGATATGAAATTGGACTTTTTGTGGGCATCAGTNTTTTTCATGTATATTTTTTGCCTCTTTCAACTTAATTCCCTGTGATGCTCGGACTCGTCTTTCTGGCTGGCATACTCGTGTCGTCAACAAATGAAAAGATTTTGCTTGTGAGTTTATGGGAAAAAAATTGCCACTTATTACAAATTACAATATATAATTTGCCATTTAATTATTATTTAAATTTTTACATGTGAATTTTTGGGAAAAAATTGAAGTTCCAAAGATGTACCCACGTAACCGTGTCCGAAATTTGGATTATTTTTCCCGTATCCTACATTCTAGATAATAAATGACCCGACACTCGGATACGTACCCGTACCCAATACTAGTACCTAAGTCCGAGCATCATAGTTATTTCCTGATTTTTTAGGAAGAGAGAAAGGAAATAGTGGTAGATGGTACTCTGTAAATATTCTGCATTCACTACTAAGTGGTGATTTTCCTCCATGCCTCCAAATGGATGGGACAGTTAATCAGGAATGAGGCCCTTTAACATGCATGGTGCAGGTGATGCGGGCATCTTTTGAAGGTCCTGTGATGTGTCCATGTTACTTTTCAAACTATTTGATGATTGTAAGCTAGTTTGCTAGTATAAGTGTCTGGGCCTCAAATTTAGTTTGCATTACTTTTTTCTTTTCCCTTTGTTTGAGCATTGCTTCTTTAGAGATGATTTAATTTCAATGAATGCAGATACTGATTTTGCTCCAAGCTCCAGTGCGAAACATATTGATAGGCCTCGAGAAGTTAGCTCGTCTGCACCGTCAACCAGTGATACATTAAGAGTTACTGACCCCCCCAGTGGCACTTTCCTACGAACAAACTGGCAGGTTCAGGGCTACCTTTCGGAGCAAGCAGATGCCATCGAGAAGTGAGTGAATTTTGATCCATTTTATTAGTGCTTGTTTGGCCGAGCTTATAAGAGCTCATAAGCAGTGGCTCCTTGGGAATGTGTGATTATAAAGGAGGTAAAAGTTGTGCGTCCTATGGAATGTGTTGTTAAAAATAGAGTTTGACCAACTTATAAGCAATTATAAGCTTTGCCAAACATGCACTAAATTGTATCTTTTCTATATTCATCTAATAATTATATTTCAGAATTATTACATGCAAGTATTTCTATTTTTACGATCTTGTTTCAGACATGGGAGCTCCTTCCCTCTACACACTTTTGAATCTATACTAAAAAAGCTTCAGAAATCAGCTCCAGAATTACATCGAGTGAGTTGCTAATTTTGATATTTCTTTTCCACTGTTGTTTATTTTAGTAGGGAGTTCCTTTACCTGACTTGGAGATGCTTCTTGTCTCCTAATTTAAATTGCAGGTTCACTTCTTGCGTTACTTAAATTGTCTTCATCATGATGACTACCCTGGTGCATTGGAGAATCTTCATCGTTATTTTGATTACAGGTAAAACTTAATCAGTTTATTTTATTCGATGCCATGACGTATTTTCACTTGGATACATGTATTGCATCAGTGTGGCTTGGGTGTAACAGAAAAGAAGAGGTAACAAACTAAAAATGATGTTCGACTAACTTAAAAGGGACAAATGGGGGAATGTTAGATTCTTTCACTTATTTATTTTATGATAAATTTGAGAGAAAATTGAAGAGGACTATTTAGAAAGAAAAATCATATCTTCCTCTTTCATTGACTTTTCTTATTCCCTGGAAATAAATAAAAGAAAAACTAAAATTTGTGTGTCCCTATCGGAAACTGTTTTATATTTTTCTTCTTCTATTTCATTGTGCTTCCATTCAAAGCACGGCGTCAATGTTTCACAAACTTAATTTCTTGTTTCTCTAATAATATTACACTCTTGACAATGTGGCCCTTTTACCTTTCTTTTTGTTGACTTTTTTTTACTCATCAGCAGTTTTGTACAGAGGAAGGACATGAAACCCAATAATCTGATGGCAACTAGATATATCCCTCTCTGGCACTGGGCATTTCTTCCTTGCGTCAAGCCCTATTACATTTTTGAGCCACATTAACATGTCCCATGAAACTAGGTGTTTTGTTCCCAGCATTGGCTAATATGGAGTGTGGACTACTGATAAAGAGGACGGTTATGAGAACAGTAATACTATGGAGAATTGTCAGAAGTACAATTCTCTATTAATATAAGTTTCAAACATAAAATTTTTGAGGATCTGTTTTGATTTCTAATTCAGATATTTAATTTCTTTCCTTGATTTTGTGCCGCATTAGATAAAAGAATGGTATTTTCATTTCACTTTACTTCGGATATATCTGTCTGATCCCCGAGTAGAATAAGCATATGATGAACACGCCACCTCTAATTACCTTGGTCGATCTGAATGTGATAAGCATACTGTGAACACACTAACCATAAATCTATCACAAACATTGACGAATTAAGAATTTGAGAACTAATTGGAGAAATTCAAAAAATTTCTTAAAAAACTCATCTTATAATAAAGTTTGTCAACAAATTTAAGATTAGCAGGGAATAAAACAACAATAAAATCACGAATTTTATTTTCAATATAATGAAAGCGAATATGGAATATGTAATAAAATGTCATGGTATCTAATGAAAATATCTAGAACTTGTGATCTTGTATATAATCTAAAATGACTATACAGAAATTTGTTCAAGATATCCGCCTCAAGTTCACTTCAAAATCCAAATAAATCAGGGAATAATCTACTCTTCAGTATTTAATTTATAAGTTTGATATAAGTGGCTCCTCTAGATCTCATTTTTAGTGTGAGAGCCACTAATTCTCAAATGCAGCTCTAAAATATTTTTTGCGCATATTGAATTTTACAGAATCTTTTATAAAGCTGGTAAGTTAGTTTTAAGCTTAGGAAATGACAGGCATTTTGTGCAAAGCTCAAGGATTGTGTATTAAATCCATGTTCAATAGGCAAGGACCATTAACTTTTAACCCAAGAGAATGGTCACTTCAATGTTTCTCACAAGAAATTACTTTTAGTTCTTGGTTGCATATTGGTCGCCTGTTAGTCCTTAACCTTGGCAAGTGCTACTTTTTCCTCTTTTGACATATATTTCTTTTCCTCTCTCATCTGAGGGATTTCTCATTCTTTGTAGAGTTCACCCGTGTCACTTAAATTGCTAACTGGCATCTGATGGCAGTTCCTCAGCAAAGCTTCTTTCATCCATTCTTGTTTCTATCATTTACATTTAAACTTCCTTTTATGCTATGCTATTTCATCTTCAATTAACTTTCTTTGCCAATGATCTAATATGAGTATTGTCTGTAATAAAGTGCAGGGACTGAGGGTGTTGAATTTGTTCCTGCTCCATCTGGCTGCAGTGGTTTGGGAAGATATGAAATTGCTTTGTTATGTTTGGGGATGATGCATTTTCATTTAGGGCACCCAAAGGAATCTTTGGAGGTAAGCATATGCAATGATGGTGCCTCATATCTGTTGGTTCATCTTTGCTTGTTCCTAGGACTACTTTCATCTGTTATTCTTACTCATTAAATCTTTTCAATTTATGGTTGAAAATTCTTGAAAGGGAGTGGTTTTTTGGTGCCTTGTTGGCAGTTGTTTGTTTATGATCCATCTTTGTGGCAGTCACAGCCTCACAAGTGTTTCTCCCTTTTTTTTTTTTTTTTTCAGGTTTTAACTGAAGCAGTTCAAGTTTCCCAGCAGGTGTACATTTAATTTTATATTTGCTTTCTGTTTAATATCCCATTTTGGTATATTCTCATTTCTTTAGTGATCTAAACTAAATTGAAGCATTTGATAATATCTGAATATATTTCTGTTATCTTGCCAATTGCCTTTGATTATTAAATATTATGTCAAAATGAAATGCAAATCATGTCAATGCCATCTTGATGAAACAATGCATCAATGAGAAGTTAATTCGATAAGTTTAGTGACTTTTTTTCTTAAAAACTGTCAAATAAAATGCGTTCCATGCCGAAATATCACAAGTACCCCTCGTCTTGGCCCCTGTTCAATAAGTGGAACGCATTAGCTGTCTGTTCTCAAGTTGGGCACTAAAAGTCGGAGAAGGGCAATTACTCATTTTTGAATAATGTATGTGTTACAGTTACCTTTCTGCTGGCACTATCACCCAAAGTACTATAGACTTGCTGGAGTTCTCTTAAGGAGGTCCTTTAGGCTGAGTTAGTCAGAGCATGTATGCCTGAAGAAATTTCTTTCGTTGGGATTAATAGACCATGCTCATCACTTTGCTTGGGATGCTTCAGACCCTAGCCTTTTAATTTAATGCTTTAAGGAAATCAGACTTCTGAAACCGAATAATTTAATTACATGCTTTATCCCATATTACTTAAGTTTAAAGGAGATTGTCGTGAGCCCTTGCAGACTTACTTTAGGGGTTCTACTTTCTCAACTTATGTTTTGTTGATTTCACTTGCAATTTCCAATGATAGAGCTTGAAAGTTTCATTCCTCCTTTGAAAAAGCTTGGTTGACTCTGTCTTATTCTCTCCAAGTTTTGTGTCAGTTTCAATTCTCTACTAAAGGCCACAAATCAATCAATACTTTCTTATATGCGTCTTGCTTTTTGTTATCGATCAATTTTGATAGAATGTAATCTAGTCACTGTAATGGCTATGCCAATCTAGTGGTGGGTCCTACAAAATGCGTAGTTAAAATTAAAGTTTAACTTTTACCTTTATATTATAAGGAGATTATAAATGGAAGGCAAACAAGCTATAGGTGTCTTCAATATTCACCTCTAGTCAAAGTAACACATTTTAGATGTTTTTTCCCTTTTTTTTTCCTTTTTTTTTTTCACACTCATATTGGTTAATTTTATCTCAAAATTCAGCACAGCGATGATACATGTCTTGCCTACACATTGGCTGCCATTTGTAACCTCTTGTCTGCTATTGGCTTCTCAAATATGACTGGAATTATTGGAGCATCATATTGGCCAGTTGCTGGTATAGGCACTTCATCATCCATTCAACAACAATTATTTGTACTCTTGAGGAGATCCTTAAAGAGAGCAGAAAGTTTAAAGCTGAAACGATTGGTGGCATCCATTCATCTTGAAATTGCTAAATTTGACTTGGCGGTAAGTAATTTTTCCTCATTTCATTAGTAGACTGTATGAAGTATATAACACAAATTTGTTATTTTGGCCTAATACTTAGTTGATTTGGAAAAGTTTAATTCATCAAAATGTTCTGGAGATTTGAAATAATGTCTATCCAAAGGAAGTGAGTGGGATATGTATTTTTTTATGCATATCTATTTTTATGGATTTACTTAATTTACGACGTTTGGTTGGAAAGTAGATGGATATAATTGATGGAAATATAATTGAGACTGAATCATGCGCCTTTTTGTAAATTACGAGAAGTAAAACGATGGAACTTGTAATTGAATTTGTTGGTTTCTGTAATTCTTTGGTACTTGGCACTTGAAAGAATGAATTTTAATGTGTAAAGTTTTGCATGTCTTGTCAATACTTGTGTTCTTGCACAAGTATGATCAAATTTGATCTCCTGTATTCTGAATTTAATGTTTTTAATGGTTTCATGGATTTGTGAAGCTTAATGAAGTGGAAAATAGCACAGAATATGGTAATGGTTATATTGGATTTTGCTGGATAGAACAGATTTGATAAACTGCACGAAAAGGTTAATATGGTTCAATGTTGCTCCCAGAAAATAGGCATTAGTTGGCAAAGGAGGACATCACTTAAAAGTAAGATTAAAATCCAGAACTCTAATATGACATTTTATTTCTGGAAGAGATAAGGTAGGATGCTAGGGGAAAATTATGGGAGGGTTTGCTTCACATCTGACTAGTGATAGTCAATCATGGATGCTAACTTGTATAAGTTGTAGGCTACAGATATCTGCAACTTGTTGATGAAGTTATTGTCTATCTTGTGTTAAAGTCTAGATAGGATAATTATTTGGGTTCACATAGTGCTAAATGCACCGTTTAGGTTCATGCAGTGGTGAACGCTTGTTTTGGGTTCTCTGTCCTTTTATTTCTTTTCTTTGTTATGTTATGAATTAAAACTAAAATTGGTCTATTTTGGTTTGTAGCATGTTCAAAGACCATTGCTCTCTTTTGGTCCAAAGGCTTCCACGAAGCTTAGAACACGCCCAGCCAATATCTGCAAGGTTATATCAGTTCATTGATTTATGCTTTTAGTTCTTTTAACAGCAATTTTTATTGAGTATGACTGTTAAGAATACATTCTTTCTTATATGGTCATAATGATTGTGGCAGGAACTATGGACCAGTTATCATCTGATTAGCGAATTTACAGATGAAACTTCTATAATGACCATTGATGGCGCCTTCTGCACTTCATGGCTGCAAAATTTGAAAAAACCTACAGGTTTATTAGTTTACTCTCAAGAAAATGAAACCAGGGGTGATTCCAACAGTTTCAACTTTAGTGCTCAGCCAAGTTCTATACCAGGATCGGTGTTACACTTATTGGGTTCTTCCTACTTGGTTCGTGCTGCTGCATGGGAGGCATATGGCAGGTGATCTGTAACAATACCATATGTGATGCTTAACTCTTGAAGCCACTTATTTGGATGTCCTGCCTTATTTTCTCGAAAACTTCCATGCTAATGCAGTACTGAACAGTGTTATTTTTTATGCATATGCTCGTGAAAATCTGGTCATAGTTTATTTAATGATTGTAGCATTACTGTTAGTTCTCATTACTCACATTCTGTTAAGAAAAATCCTTCTGAGAAGTACTTGAGCAGGCAATGTCAGCTCAGCTGATTATGGCCTTTTGGCCATTTTATGACTTGTGTCCCATTAAGTGGATCTAATTTAGTAGAACTGAAGGAATCTGAATTGGTCCTTTATACTCTTCACAGTTTATTAAACTTTATTTTTGTATAAAATAAAAAGTATATGCATACCTTAGATGCATTTTCAGTTTGAGCGACATGAAGCTTCTACTCATCGCTGACATCTTTCAGTTGATGCGCACATGCACGCATGCATGCACAAGCCTTCTCCTGTTCTGCACTGATATTAACTTGTTTGAAGTGAAACCATTGAACTACAAGAAAATTGAACTACAAGAAAGAAAATATGACTTCTTGGCAGACAGTATGTGTTAATTAACTGGCAGTTAACTCATCGCTACCATCTCAACAAAGACATTTTCAGATTTTTTTTCAAGTACATTAATGACACACTGTGATTTATTATGCTGTGCGGCCTGTCCTGTGGAATCAATTGATAGTTTTCTTATTTTGAGGGCATCAGACCTCTCAATAGGGTCATGCCGTAGAAAACCTGATTGATTCTGAGCATGCTATCCTAAGTTCTGATGTAAGTTTGTGATGTACCCTGATGGCATCTTCATATTGGTTTGAACTTCAAGGACTTGTGACTTGGGACCATTAATGACCTTCCACCATTTTCTTATCCCATTTCGTAACACCAATTTCCCACAATTTGAATCCTAGATAACTCAGACAGATAAATAGTTTGTTTTTTGCGCAGGCTATATTGTCAATTTTTTTGTAGGGTTGTTGAGTTCTTAGTTTCCGCGCTCACAGAAATATAGAGCTATTCAGCTTATTAAATTGTGCATGTGGCAATAGATATGCAGTCCATGAGTGGTATGGAACGTTGGGAATAAAAAGGTTGTACATGTATTGTTTGGGCATGAATTTTGCAATTGGCTGAGCATGTAGGCTTTTGGTTCAACTGGGGGCAAAGGGATTTCTGCTGACTGCCGAGTTATCTTGATCTAGGAGAATAGAAAATTAAATCATCTTTTTTTTCTTTTCCCTCCAAATTCCAGATATGGGAGAAGTATTTATACTATGGCCACTGTGCCAGGGAATCAAAATTAATGAAAGAATCATAGCTCATCCACTTTCTCCTTCCATCTCACATCTTCTGGAAGCAGATGAGGATCTCCTTTGCTTCTCTCCAGTTAGATCATTTCCTTCAGAGAAAACTGACGTTTGCAAGATTTCTCATCTGCTGGAACAATATAATGTTATGGTAGAAACAATTTTTTCACGTATTGCTCTATTTGGCTTATTCCATCTACAGTAAGCAATAGGAGACAACCCAAATGCAAACTTGTTTGAGTTATATATAGCTTGATCAGTCATCTGATGCTACTTCTGTCCGTCTGTCTGTCTGACTCTGTCTGTGGTTACCTAGTTCTCCTACATTCTCAAATTGTTTATTCTAAATCTAATTACCTTAGTTAATGGTTTTTCTCATTTGCTTCATCTTTCCTGTTCAGTGCTCCTCTAGTTCGAATAAATGCACTGGTTTTTGCTACATGCTTTGCTGATTCATCGAGGTAATTCCCATGCATTAATTTGCTGGTCCTGCTGCATAATTAATCCTTCCCTATTGTATTCCATTCTTCCACATTTGTAATTAACTTAATCATCTAATCACGAACTAACTTTCTGTAATTTTTCAGTTCAGCTGATGCTGCGTTAGCATATGCAAAACTCATCCAGCATTTGGCAGTATTCAAAGGATACAAAGGTTGGACCTACGACCAAATGCTTCAAAATTGATTTAGCCCCTGTTTGTGCTCCATTTTTCAAAAATGCATTTTTCCAAAACTTACTTTCAACCACACATTCTCCCATAAAATAATGTTACACATAAATCCAAAACTTTTCCTTATTTTTGAACCACATTCTAAAAATAAAATTCACTATTCTAAAACACATCCCCCCCCCCCCCCCAAAACCCAATCTATTCACATCCCCAGAGACCATATGATGTAGGTTTTTCCACAATGAAGTGGTAGATAACTGGTAGCATTCTCGTCTTTTTTGCCACGTGAACAACAATTCAATTGTTTTCTGTCTCTTCCTCAGATAATCCAGTCAGTATACTCTCCATGGCTGCTTCCTGGCCACTGAAAGCAATACTCCTAGGGACTTTTTTCCAAATTTAGTTACACTGGAAATTCTGTTTTCTCACATCTTTAAGAATGTTACAGCATTGTTTAACCAGTATTTTCCACTTATCAATCAGCTTATTATCCGCATCAGATTCACCCAAGTCGAAATCATATTTCAATTACAGCATATCCGGTATATCTTAAACCTCTGATCTTATTCCTTTTAAAAGTCAGGTTTTCAAACCACTACACTCTCACTTTTTTCAATGAAATAACTTAGCAGTGCTTCCAGATTAGAGTGAGTTGTACACGAGCTGGGAAACTTGTTGGAGTGCTTTTTTCACCAGACCAAGCATTTGAAGTATTAATAAGGAGTCGCTGGTTGCTACTTATTGCTGTTGATTTCAAAGTCATGGTTGTCCCGTTGACTTTTTACTTTAAATTGGTAGCTTATGCCGCAGTATGTAGGCATCTTGCTAAAATTTTGAGTTATAGCTACAATATCTACTAAACATTTGCCTTTGAGTCTGTTCTAGAAACAACTTGCAGCCTTAACATTCTTGAGGGTAGAACCTTGTCCAATGATATCGAAAATTTTGTTACAATTCATTCCACACTTCTACATTCTTTGATACACGATTGCAAGCTTGCAACTTAGAGATTTGTGAGACATTCAGTTAATAAGAACAAAATGGGATTAATCTAATACTATCTTCATATATCTATTTTTCTGTAGAAGGATATGGAATAAGTTATATACCAGTACCTCTCAGGAGGGAAACTATCTAAAGAGTTGATTGTCCCTGGATTCTTATTGTTTTGTGGTGTGCATGGTTTAGATGGAATATAAAGTAGATGAGGAGAATATAGTAAAAGGATAATAAGGGAGGAATGAAAAGGGTGTTATATTACTTTCTTTTGTTTTCTGGCACAAAGAATGTAAGAAGAAAAGTTTGCCCAAAAGGAATTTTGGAGGGAAATTGCCTTCTCAAATTGTGACAAGTGTTTCTTTAACTTTTTGAGTGAGATGAATGTTAGTCAGATGCAAAATTGTTTTATCCATCTCTTTTTCCTTTCTTTGATCATATGAACACCACATGACATTGGAGACTATTTATGCACCCTTAAAAGTTTTTTCCTCTCACTTTCTATGAGCACCGAAGTGGGGCTATCTTCTCTGTAGTCCTCTATCCTTTCTGCACTGTGACCCATCCTCATTTTCTTTGAAGTTGGTCGACTACGCCTTTTTTATATACATGTATGCCAGACATGCCATGTTCGTTGAAATGATCTTTTCTAATAAAATGTCCTAACAATGAATAATAGGTAGAGACATAGGATCCCAAACTGTCTCATAACGTCCCCTTCCTTGATAGTCCTTTCGAGCAAATCAAACGAACATCTCTCAATCAGGCACTAGTTAATGCCCTCTAGTCCCCAACACAAACTAACATGAGCTGTATAGGGTTTTGAAGAAGTCCACCATCCTTTTCAATCAACTCCTCACCTAGGGTTGGACATGGTTCAGTTTGGTGATCTTTAGAGCCAAATCGAATCCGAATTTTGAGTATTTAGTAAATGAAACCGTTGAGTCCAAATTTAATTATGGAATCGTTTGGGTTCGGTTCAGCTCTAGGGTTCCTTATAATAATTTAATTTTTTAACATTTATAATAACGTTAGATTAATTCAACTAATTATATGTTTAATCTCAACTCTTATAAAATAACGTAGCTCAATCTTATTTATCTTTTGCGTCTCTCTTTGTTGAGATCTTTATAGATTTGACCCTTAAAATCATAGGAAGTGAAGATAACGAGCTCACAATAATGAAGAGAGGCATAGCTTAGCTTTCAATTCAAATTTTCCAGAATCGTAGAAACGACGTTATGGTCGAATAATTGGTTTGGGTAAAACTTATTTTAATTTGATTAAGTTGGGCTTAGACTGGAAATTAGAAATAGGAAAAATCATATTTAGGGTTTGGGCTAAATTAGTTAGTTATCAAATTTATTTAGAAAAAATAAAATAATTTGGCTTATTTAAAATAAATAAATTAAAAAATTAGGGAGATTTGGTTCTTATTTGATTTTTCGATTCTTGGTTTAGAACCGAGAACTAAATTGAACCCGTCGGTTCTCGATTCACATACCAATTTGGGGATTTAATTTAAGAATCTCTCGGTTTGGTTCAATTCGGGTCTGATTCGGTTCCGGAATTTTGTCTAGCTCTATCCTTGCCTACCAATCTCCCCCCTTTTCTAGCTAACTAATGCAATTTGTATCCTTCTATAGCTCACCATGTTGAGACAACCTCGAATTTGGCCTCCTTTTGATTCATTTGATGTTCTCCTTTCACCTCAAAGGCCTTCTATATCTCTCACTAGAACATCTTCAAATTTGAATTTTGAACAGCATCTTTCTACTATAAAAGCTTGACTAATATCACTTCATGTTTCATCTTTGTCCGACTCCCCAATTCTTCTAACAATCACTGATTCTTCAATTGCTAACCGCCGAAAACTTCTTGCATCCAACTCTTAAGTTTTTTCTTTCAGTACCTCAAGCTTCTGCATGAACTTATACCCTTCCCAACCATGAAGACTTCCTCACAACCATAATGGTTTATTTTCTATACTAAATAGCTTATGGTCAAGCCACATCTTATTGTTCTAAAACTAACGACCAAATCCTGTTAGGATCCAAGAATAAATCTTCTTCCCTGAAAGTTTGACCATGTGAAGTCTTCATTCTTCAACAGTGGACTCATCAATTCTGATTCTGATAAATGTGTCAAAATTCCATATGATTGATTTTAAAGTGATATGCCGCCAAGAAAATTTTTCCTCCCACTCCAATGTTGAACTATTCATTCACAACAGCACTCAGGATGACCAAGTCATGGATGGATCTGTGCTGTTCCAATTTCTGCTTTCTCTTTCATGATTTTTTTGTTCTTACTGATGCAAGTTGTTCTTGCAGGCTGCAGCTATAGCCCACTCCCTCTTCTGCATGTGTTATAAGTTTAATATGCAGGTCCAAAATGCTACCGTTCTTCTCTTGCTTGCTGAGATACACAAGGTATGTAGTTTTTGATTCCCTAGACCACCTAAATTTGTCAGTATACCACCCCTACAATAATATCTTTAAGTGCTGGTGGGATGTACTCTCTGTTGATCAAGATGTCTTAAAATGGCTTATAACTGCATTGTGCATTTTACACTCATTTGCTAGTTAGTTGGCATAAGCATTTCACAATATTCGGTTGTCCAATTTGTCTGCTATCCTTCATCTTTAGCCTCTTTTACTGGTATACAAATTGTACAAGGGTAATGCATCTTTTAATTTTTGTTTTTCCTTCATTTTCAGAGATCAGGCAATGCTGTTTCGGGAATTCCCTATGTTTTGGCTTGCCTTTCATTCTGCCAGTCATTTAATTTAGATCTTCTCAAAGCCTCTGCAACATTGACGCTGGCTGAGCTATGGCTTTCTCTTGGACCAAGTCATGCAAAAAAGGCTTTAGCCCTTATACACAGTGCTTTTCCCATACTACTTGGCCATGGAGGTTTGGAGCTGCGCAGTCGGGCATTTATAACTGAAGCAAAATGCTATCTAGCTGAACCAAGCTTTTCAGGTACTTCATTATCTGCTTCATGTCTACAAAACTTGCCAGAAAAGGAAAAGGTCTAGTCAGTGCAATAACGACTAATAGCAAATTAAAACATCTATATCTAATGCCATATAGCAACTCAACCTTTCTCATTGTATTTATGATGCAGTGGTCTTAGAGGTCTAGCAGTTTCTTTTGATGGGTCAGCACGTCATAGTGCTTTCCATTATTATCTGCCAACTTGGTTTCAAGCTTGTTTAGTTGTACACTGTTTCTTTGAATTAATCTAGAATTACAGTGATTTATTAAGCCATAGTTCCAAAGATTGCAGAATGCACATTTTTGAAATTTACTTATGATCTCTTGTGTGCATAAAAGACCCATCAAGAAGGATGATAAGCTCATATTTTTCCCGTTGCTTGTGTTGAACCATTCCACATAAAAGTTTGAGCTACTATAGAGGAAAATTTTATTTATTTAAAATTTGATTTCAACACAATTCACTTTTTCATGGAATTCTAACACGTCTGACAAATTTATCTATCAAGAGCTATGTCATGCTCCAGATATACCAAGATAATCATATGTAACTTCTGTAAAAATGTTGATGTCAATGAAATTAAATGCTTGCTCATCGAAAATTGGTCACACCCCTGTAAATTTTGCTGCTATATGTGTAGCTTCTGATGAAATATTTAACACCCCAAGTAAATAAATAAACCGAATGCAAGGAAAAGATGTAGAAAGACTTGCCAAGAAATAAGAGACAGAATATCATTTATGATTCCACTGGAAAGGACCAAGTCAAAACTCTTAAGATAAATAAGATTGAACAAGTTTATTCTTACCCTCTCATTGAGCTTATAAAATATAGTTCTTTTTGTAAATATTTCCCAGTTTCTGAAGATCCGGAGATGGTTCTGGAACCTTTAAGGCAAGCTTCAGAAGAACTTCAACTTTTGGAGGTCCGTTAATCTCTGATCTCTACATGCTTATGTCTATAAATGTTGGCTAGAAATGAGATAATGGGTAGTCGTAATGGGTGTCATAGATCTCTTCTAGAGAAATTTATGTACAATCCTGTGCAAATATGGTATGAAGAAATTGGTGATGTCAGCCATTTATTTTGTTTCCTCTTATAGGTTGCAAATTACAAAGCAGGTAATGCAGGAAAATCTTTTCATAATATGAAATGACTTAGCAGGCAATGTATGGAAATGTTTTCATAATGAGGCAAATCCATGGGAAAACTGGGAACTGGATTGTGTCTGGATCCCGTTTCCATGGAAGAAATCTTCACCATCTTCATTAATCTTGCAGTTTTCTTGGTGCATTTGTGTTTTTCTATATTGTATAGTTCATAAAATTCAATGTGAAATCTCTAAGGTCTCAATTCTGTGAAACAATTCCATTTTTCGCTGAGAAAGAAACTCCTTTTTTAATAAAAAAATTTTTCCCTTTATTTTCATGAGAATTTATGACATTTATAATCCAAAATATAGTTACATATTTCCTTTCCTGATAGAAGCGCTGCCTTATGCAAGGACTTTTCATCATAAGCACCGGAATATTTCAGCTTCGATGATACTTTCCTCTTTCTTGGACCTACAAGTTACTTCATTTGGCACCTCCTGAAAAATTGAATAGCCTGTGATCTAGTACATTTGGTTAACTTAAAAAAATGATCTGATGATTCAAATCTGTGAAAAGCTTGAGCAAAGTTCATATTAAGTACCCTCCTGAAAAATTGAATAGCCTGTGATCTAGTACATTTGGTTAACTTAAAAAAATGATCTGATGATTCAAATCTGTGAAAAGCTTGAGCAAAGTTCATATTAAGTACCCTCCTGAAAAATTGAATAGCCTGTGATCTAGTACATTTGGTTAACTTAAAAAAATGATCTGATGATTCAAATCTGTGAAAAGCTTGAGCAAAGTTCATATTAAGTACCCTCCTTTTTACAATTAAAATTCTTAGCTTTTCAAATCGTTTTCTCCTTAAAGTGCCCTGGCTGGCTATAGATTTTTATTTAATTATTTTCACTGCAGCTTTCCCTTGCTTGTTTTTAGTTTTCATCAATGTGAATCTTAGAATTCAGTTATGATAGTTTTGAATTTTGGATGATGGGGCAACAGTCAATCTTGCCTTTGCTATAAATTGCATGGTGTCCACTCTTGCAAAATCTAGAGCACTCACTTTGCGTAGTCTGACTAGGACTGCTTCCATTGTGACTCCATATGGTTCATTGTTTCTAATTGGGTGAAGATGTTTACATTGTACATGCCTGTGGAAATAGGGACAATAACAATGCTAAGGTCCTCAAGTCCAAACTCATGCTAAACTTTCAAAATAAGCAACTTATCTAAACATGTTTGGAAACAAAATTTACATGAAAGTAACTTCTACTTATGTTTTAAGCTTAGCCAAACATATTTTATCTGCTGTTCCAAGTTACTAGGACTCATTATACTCGAGTATTTCAATTTTCACTGAGATAACATTGCTTCTGAACAGCATCATGAATTGGCATCTGAAGCTTTTTACTTGATGGCCATTGTCTATGACAAGCTGGGGCAGTTAGATGAGAGGGAAGAAGCTGCAGCTTCATTCAAGAAACATATTACAGCACTTGAAAATCCCGGAGAGAAGGATAATCCTCTTTCATTTTTTCTGTAAAATGCTACTTTGTTAAGAATTAAGCAGATTGAAGATATAGCATCACATTTGCTGGATTCTACGTTACTGCAAGATCAGGACAAACCATTGAGGCGCTGAAAATACGTGCACAAGACTCGGTGATGCATTGCAATATTTGTTGGGGTTTGTAAGTTCATTTTTGTGGCTCTTCAAGGAAGTCTTAATTGTTGTGTAAATGAAGTATGAATTTAAAAGTAGTAATTAAAGCATTATTGGGTGGAAGCTATTTATTTTAAAGTTATATTATTTAAAGCCTCATCTATATTATTATTTTTTATTTTTATACCACAGAATTGTGAGTTAATTGTTTCAATTATTACTGAACTTAGGTCACGGTTTACTCACTAAATTTTTAAGTGTTTCATAGTGTTTATTGAATTTTGTTCAATCACACCCTCTCCATCACCTTCAAAAATTCGTTATCTTATTTGTTGATGTGGTTAACGAAAATCTGATATGTCGAGTCGTGGCCGTTAAAAAAATTACAAATTAATCAAATCATTGTTTCATCACTCATTCAATTTGCACCAAGTTACACTTTACTCATTGAACTTCAAAATACTCCCCAATGGTCACTCATCTTTGATATATTGTACTAATTCCATTATCCATCATATTTTGTTCAATTCGTTGCTAATTTATTGGACGAAAATTTCACAGGTAAGTACAATCATAAATAAAAAAAGTAAAAAATAAAATTACAATTCAATCAAACCATCAATACAGAAAAATCACCATATGTGAAATATGACTTCCACGTTCCCATAAACTTCTTTAAAATCCAATAAAATGTTCCCAATTTCAATATTAAAAAACCTAGTTATAAGTGCATTATGTTACACTTATTTAGGCATTTTAAATTGGAGTATTTATTGGAATTTTTAATAAATTATGGCTAAATTCTATATATAATGTTTTCGTTAGGTAAAAATCGATGAAATTAATGGAATTGGAGACAATAAACGAGAAAATAGTGAAATATAGATAAAGCATAATCGAAATATAAAACTATAATTGAAGATCACATATGATCATTTTGATGCAATCAGAAATCAATTTTCAATCCAACAAGTAAAGTTTCAAATTTTCTTACTCCTATAAAAAAAAGTTGCTTGCACAAAAAAAGTTTGAATTGGAAAAATAATATTTTTTAAGACTCATTGGGGAAGCTGTATTGGATTTTAAAAAAGTTTTATAGGGCCATAAAAATGTTTCACATATGGTGATTCTAATAAGTTGATAGTTTTGTTGAATTGTAATTTTTTTAACATTTGTAAGCCTCCGTTTGGCTCCTATTTTTTGTTAATGAAAATGGGTGGGCCGCGTTCATTCGGGAGAAAAATCTTCGCTCCAGTTTAAATTAAAAAAGTTGTACACTCAGCCTACATTGGGAGACAGAGAGACTGGTTCAACTTGACATGGCAAAGGTTCTCTTCCTATCACTTCACTTCGTTCGAGAAATCTGATCTCACTGGACCGGGCGAAGGGTAAAGAAGGTATGGCTGGTCCGGGAACAACAACAGGAGAGGGCTAGTAGCCCCCCTTCCTCTCTCTCTTCGCCACGCCTATTTGTTTCCCCAGCCTCGGAGAGATGCCCGTGCTTGGTGGAGAAGAAGCGCGCTATAGGAGTTTCGTCTCCTAAAGTAATGACGAGGACGCAACGATTGCTTTTTTTTTTTTAAAAAAAGAGTGATTGAAAAAGAAGAAATTTTTTTCGATTTACGTGTAATATTATTTTATGGAAGATTGTGTGGTTGAAAATATGAGAGAGAAAAATGAAATGTTCATATTTTTAATCACACAATCTTCCATAAAATAATATTACACGTAAATCGAAAACTTTTCATTTTTTTAAACCACTCATTTTTCAAAAAAACACTATTCCCCCATTAATTTTTCCACGTAATGAGGATCAAACAGGGGCTAAGTGAGATTTCAATGCGAACATTAGCATCGAAGGGAATGAAATATGTGGATGATTGATGGAATCCAACATCTCAAAGATGAGTGACCATTAGGAAGTATTTTGAAGTTTGATGAGTAGACTGTGACATAATGTAAGTTGGATGAGTAATGAAATAATCATTTGGCTGATTTGTAATTTTTTAACGGTCCTAACTTGACATATCAGATTTTCGTTAGCCACGTCAGCAAATAAGATAACAGATTTTTTTACTGTGATGGATAGAGAGCAAACGAACAAAATTCAGTGAGCACTAAGAAGCAATTAGAAGTTTAGTGAGTAAACCATGAGTATGGTATAAGTTGGGTGCTTATTGAACTCGAGAACTGTGATAATTTACTTAATTTTTTTTACTTTAATCAATATAAAATATTTATTTCAAAATTTACTCATAAATTTATGAATAAACTTATAATCTAGATTTTTAAAGCTAAATCATTTTTTATTAGGTTTATAAAAGGAAACTTGTCTAATAAAAACTTATTTTTAATATTACTATATTTAAAATATTTTTTATAATCAAGTCTATGTTTGGCCTTTATTTATCAAAAAATTATTTTTTCAAAACTCATTTTCAATCACATATTCTTCCATAAAATAATTATATACGTAAATCGAAATTTTTTCTTTATTTCTTAACCCTTATTTGAGCCCCATTACATTAGAATACTTTCAATAGTGATTTGACATCATTTCAACTACACATTCTTCATTAAAATATTATTACACACAAATTCAAAATTTTTCTTTATTTTTTAACTACACATTTCACATTAATAAACTATTCAAAAACGAATTTTTTTTTGGCAAGAATGGGGCTCAAATAAGGGCTTAATTTTATATATATATATATATTATTTATTTATTTATTTATTTATTTTTCAAAAAATCACTATTTTAAAATATATTTTCCTACTAAATCGGATTCAAACAAGTGTTAAATTAGATTCAATTGGATTTAAATTCTAACCCTGTCGCTAAAATACGGTCTTTGCAGGCAAGTTGTATTATCATAAAGCGTCTCCAAATTGACTTCATTTAATTATGGAGTGAACCGTCATCGTTAATCATAGACGTATTATCTTCGGAGGCTAGTTTTGATGGTTTTCACGAGTGGGGACCTCAAATATTTTGTATTTATTTATGTGAGCAACCTCGCCAGACAAGGAAGTACAGAGAATACAGACATCTTGCAAACAAGGAAATGTTTGGCTATGCTTAAAATGATCACTTACAAATAAAGTAAATAAAAGGTACTTTCGAACATATAACTAATCAGTCCGTTGATGAAAAGTTGCTTTACTTTTATTAAGGATTATCCAAACACGATCTAATCAGTCAACGTGATTTTCAGGTTTCTCAAGTAACACATGAGCAAGGCTCCACAGTCTATTACTTCACACGACAAAATTCTAACAATCACTTCCACTTTTTCTGCATCGCTCTGTCATTAGGCTTCTTGGGATTTTGTTATTTCATTTACCTTCTCCAGGCTCCAGCAAAGTCGACCCAACTACCCAAGTGAAGCTTGTTGAAGGTTTGGGAAAGGTAAGCAATTTGCTTCTTTTTAATTGTCCGTTTCTTGAGCAGTTTTATACGTTTTAAGGTTGTAGATTAAGTGTTTGTTAATAGAACTCAAAGGGAGTTCTTAGGCTACGTTTACTTTGATTTTTGCTTCTTGAACTAGGGTTGCATTAATATTTGATTTCTAGCTTGAATTTTAGTCATTTATGCAAGAAATTGAAGTTTCTCTTTGCAGATTGCTTACTGAGTCTGGTGGTGACCAAATGAGACTATGAATCATTGGTGAGTTGACTAATGAGCTGCAAATGTTGATTTGTGGGCTTTTCTATGATTTGAGAATGGGTAATAGAAATATTGTCTATTATATTATTATTATTATAAGGATTTGTTTGTGATTTGATAAATAGGTTATGCTTGAAGAGTCAATTGGGATTTCAAGATTTTGCTTTATTTAGGGTTGAAAACTACACGAAAATTGAAACTTCCCGAGTGTTTTCATTATCTTGAGAGCAAGACTTCAATTTTGACTGCTGGAAACTTGTTTTCTTGGAAGTATTTGATGGTTCAGAAGGATCCTAAGGCCTGGAATCCTCTTAATTTTGGATCTATGTAGTTTTGGTTATTGAAATTAGTTGCAATATGATTGTGCTTCAGTCTTCTGGATAAACGAGAGATAATTATCAGCTTGCTGCTCTATAGAGGTCAATATCTATCCGTCTGAGAGGATGACAATTTGTATCTGACGGACAACTAAGCTGTTTATTATGGATAGTGGAAATAACTATTCTTTATCTTATGACTTTGTTGCTTCTGATCTTTCAAAGGGGTCGAATAGTCTCAGCTTACCATCCCCTGCTGGCTATGAAGTAGAAACCAATCTTGAATTGTTGAGTTTGAATCGACTCAGTTACAGTCTTGAAAAGCTTTTGCTTGAGGCTGAGTATGACCACAGTGATGCAGTGATAGAAGTTGAGGGAACCCCTGTGGGTGTTAATCGCTGTATTTTGGCTGCACGGAGTCCATTTTTCCATGAGCTATTTAAGAATGGGAATGGTTGTTCTGTTAAGGAAAGTAAGCCGAAATATCTTATGTCAAAATTGGTTCCTCATTACAGAATTGGACTTGAAGCATTCAATGTTCTCTTAACTTATTTATATACTGCAAAGCTTAAGCCATCACCACCTGAGGTTTCAACGTGTGTTGATGAATCTTGTACTCATGATTCTTGTCCTCCTGCTATTAATTATGCTGTGGAACTGATGTATGGTTCTGCAACCTTTCAGATTAAAGAACTTGTTATGCTTGTTCAGGTTTGTCCTGTCTCTAACTGGTTAAGCTCTTTTCAGAGTTTTGGGATGATCTTTTTCCAACAATCTGTGGTTGGAAAAAAAAAATAGAATTCTTTCTTTATGTTATTGATTTGGGCTTCACTAAACACTGTTTTCTGAACATCTTTAATTTCAAATAACTGTACTTGAAATTAACTAAATCTGGAGGATGCACAAGGTCACTAAAAGAACATAAAAATTCTGCATAGATCCACGACATAAATTCTGTTAGTCTAATAAAGCTCCTTTATGCTATTTGGAAAAATAACTGGAAAATATTATTCTGGTAATGTTGTTAAATAATTCTCCAGACATGCTTATCTATTCCCATAATACCCACCTATTCCTTTGGAAGCAGGAGTAGGCAGCATTTTGTGGCTTTAAATATGCCACTTCAAGTGGATCAATGTCCTATCTCTCTGTGCTGCTTGTAAAATGTATGAAGTCAGTAGAGCTCGACTTTTGAAACATGTGTAATGCACCTTGATTAGAACTTGCTCATCACGCTGAACGATGGCTTACTATTGTTTTCACTGTTATAGAATGTGCATAATTACGTGCATTCTGATATTATGTTCTTTGTTTTACATGCAGCGCCGTCTTATTGACTTCGTTGATAAAGCTTTTTCTGAAGATATCATTCCAATTCTTGCTGTAGCCTTTCACTGCCAATTAGAGCAACTTCTGTCATACTGTGTCAACAGATTAGTGCACTCGGATTTAGATGAAATCGTGCTCGAGAAGGAGCTTCCTCATGAAGTTCTAAGTGACATTCAATCACTTCGCTTTGAATCCCAGAAAGCTGGTGAGCATGCTCTGGTGAGTGTGGACCCCATGAATGAAAAGAGAATTGGAAGGATTCACAAGGCATTAGACTCTAATGATGTTGAATTGGTGAAGTTACTTCTGGAGGAATCTAGCATCACACTTGATGCTGCTCATGCTCTTCATTATGCTGCTGCCTTTTGTAATTATAAGGTTGTGAATGAAGTGCTCAACTTAGGTAATGCTGATGTAAACCTTAGGAATTGTCGAGGGTACACTGTGCTTCATGTAGCTGCCCGACGTAAGGATCCATCAGTAATAGTGGGGCTGCTGAACCAGGGTGCGTCAGTATCAGATACTACAAATGATGGACAGACGGCTGTTAAAATATGCCGGAGGCTAACCCGGCCAAAGGACTATAACGAGGCAACAAAGGAAGGCCACGAAACTAATAAAGATAGGTTATGTATTGATGTGCTGGAGAGAGAGATGCTTGGAAATCCACTGGCTGATTACATGTCTATGTCATCAATGATGGTGCCTGACGATCTTCACATGAATCTGTTGCTTTTTGAAAATAGAGGTAAGAATCAATGACAAAATGCATTTCTCTTAAAGTCGAAAAAGTTTTGCAAAAATGGATATGTTGTACAGTTGCTACTAGTGCTTTTATCTTCTTTTTTTTGTAAGTTTAGGTTTGGTATGATAAGATAAACCACTTTAGAGAATCTGTTGGAAGTTTGTCAAGGCAATCAATATTAGAAAGAAGATGAACTCGTAAGATACCAAATGAGTGTCTTGCAAGGATTGTATTTTGCTACAGGGGTAGTGCGAAGCTTCTCTTTTAATATTCTTCACATCCGTAAATACCTAGTGTAATTATGAAAATGATCTATTGTACTTCTATCCGTCTGCACCTCCAATTTGTAGCAGCATCCTCTCAAAAATCATTGAAATTAAGGGATACCATTACATCTGGGATAAGACTTACATTTTCTCTTCCAAATTCACCATAAGTTTTATATAATTTGTTTTTCTGAAACTATGCATGTATATGCTTTGTGTTCAATTTGAGAATGCACTAATTTGCATTTCTCTATCTCATACGCATTGTCTATTAGTACTAAATTGATTTTGCAAATATTTGATAAAGTTTTTACATGTTCAATTTATTTTTAAATAAAATAGACGAAACTGTGGCTCAGAAGGATTATTGATATCAAAGATGAATAGTAAGACTTCTGGTATCTATCCATTTGTCACTTGCATGTTTATCACCCAAAACAGGATTGGTCCTAGATAAAAAATGGGAGAGGAATTTATTTAATTGAATTTGTAAATCATATGGAATGAAACATCAACTGTTAATCCGAAGTGTGCACATCATATGAAAAGATAAAGAGATGTTTAATTTGATGGGATCTTTTGTGGTTCAACAAGATATACTATTTGGTTGTTTAAATTCTTTCTGCTTCATAGAGGCACAATAAAATGGAACTCGTTTAGGTCACTAGTTACATTCACTGAGGAGTGGTCCTGTTAACATATTCTACTTAAGGAAGCTCAAAGCGAGAAGTCATGGATGAAAACTTTTGGAGCAATGCATCCATTTACTTACTTTTTCTGAATACAAAAAGTTTATCACAGCCACCAACTGGTAATCACGTAATAAAAAATAATACAGATGAAAAAATTAAGTTGAGCTGAAATCCAACAATAATACGAAGACGGTAAGTTTAAAGGGTTCTTCTAATGCATTTTTGAATTCTTCATCATTTTCCTTGCTGTTATAAACAAATGCATTCTTAATTTATTTAAAATCAGATACCTGGATGGAGGTGGGATAAGAAATACATAATTCATTAGGATTTGCACTAATTTCTGCTCCCGTCTTCAGTTACATTTCACCTTTTCTGATTTTTTCTTGGTGGCTTATTGATTGCCTAATGTTTAAAACTTCTGAAGTCAAATTAAAAAACAACCATCCTGTTTATATAGTCTCGTAAACTGTTGCACATAGTGATTTTACTAATTAACTCATAATATGCCATTTACATGGATATGTTATAGCCACGTGTCTTTATCTCTTGGTAGATAAGGTTGCTTGTTCGGTATTCCTTTTGTATTTTAACTATGTACATATACTACTATAACGCTTGTTAGAAACTGACATGAGGATCACCACATGCTTTCTTCAGCCTGATCTAATTCAACTGGCATGTCATGTCTAACTTTATTCTTGTGTTTAAAATATGTCTAGATCCCTCGTTAAGGCATAGTTTGTATTTACTTGTATGTTAATCATTAATCAATATAATGCAGATACGCTATATTTCTTTTTCCCATTGAGAGAATCATCTATTGCTAAATTGAATAAGAAGCATGCCCCCATATTCAGGAATAAATGCTCCATCGTGATTAATGAACTCCTGGAACCTATCAAATTTGGTTCTCACTTTACAGGCATGGTTCCTAAACTTGGGTTAATGTTGGTGTATGATCAACATTATCATAGTTCTGATCTACCTTTATCTTACCCAATAATGCGTTTTATGTTATGTTAAATGCTAGTGTTATATATCTTGTTTTTATATGGCAGTGGCAATGGCACGAGCCCTGTTTCCTCTAGAAGCCAAATTAGCCATGCAGTTAGCACATGCAGATTCTACCTCTGAGTTTGCTGGCCTTTCAGCATCCAAAGGCACATATGGGGATTTCCGGGAGGTGGATTTAAATGAAATACCATCTGAGCAATTCAAAAGGCTTCAGCTGAGGCTGCTATCGCTGCAAAAGACTGGTAAACTTAATTATCATAACCTTCGGCGATCTAATCACTTGCCTATTGATTGACATGAATGATTATTCAGCCTTTTTGGATTCTAATCACAATTAGAAAATATAAGTAGACAACTGTAGCATCAAATCTGGGTTCATATGGTGTCAATGGAAAAATCAATAGGTTTTCAAATGAATTATGCTTATGAATATAAACGTTTTCCAAGCATCAGATTCATCCTAAATTTAATTTGGTTGTAGAAGTGAATAAAAGTGTATAAATAGTCCATTAGCAGATGACAGGCTTTAGAACTCGGAAGGTGTAATAACCTCACTCTTTTGACTCTTGGATCAAGCGTGGTACTTGTTTCTGCATTGCAGCACATGTTTTCCCCACAAATCCTTGACTAGTTACCCTGTTAGTGACTCTCATCTCGATCCCTTCTCTGTACATTCCTGTAATTTCTTGGTCTGTTCCCTCATTTTCATTGAATACATTCTTCTATCTGATAAAATTGATCTAGACAAAATCAGGTCTGAATTTGCAGCTTAGTAAAGCTTTTCCCGAATCTCTTCGTCAGTGTCAAAAATGTATCTTGAGCATCTCTTGAATCTATAGTCTCAGTTTATCAGCAACATCCATGTTTTGTAGAGAGTAGTCGAGCAAAACAGATTTTAGGGATTGGTGCCTATATATAGATGTGTGTTTTTATTTTTATGGTGGACAGTATATAGACATCTGGGGTTTTGGAAATTTCATATGTTTCTTTCTATTCTTGTATTTTTATGTTTAACAGTGTATTTTTCTTGTCTCCCATGGCTCAACTTAACCACGTAAATCTTGCGCTGTTTGCTTTCTAGTTTGTTACCCTTTTTGTTGTTCATGTGGTTGAATGTTCATCTATACCTGAGATCAGCCTAACAGAAATCCAAATTGAAACTTCCTCATCACATGGCCAAAGTCAAAATTGCTAGAAGGTTTTGAAATTATATTAGCTTTCACTGCTCGCGACGAGCTTTGAGAAAGTAAAAGAAGTTGACTGATAAAGTTTCAGGTCTGTAGTTACTTTACAAGTTCTAGTCAAAGATATTTAGGGCCCGTTTGATTCCCATTTTTTTCAAAATGCATTTTTCTCTCTTTTCTTTTCAACCACACATTCTTCATTAAAATAATATTACACATAAATCAAAAACTTTTCAACTACACATTCTCCATCAATTTACCATTCTAAAATTCATTTTTTCTTAAGAATGGGTGTCAAACACCCTCTTATTGTGTTATGAACAGTAAATAAAATTTGTACAACTTTTTTGTCTGAAAACTATAAAGTTAATGACCCAATTTACGGGTGTTACAAAATATACTAATAATGCAACCAAACTATTATGGAATTTATCTCTCGAGAATCTGGAAAATATCATAATAACTTGGAAAATATGAATAGAGTTCTATATCCTTTACACCCCATTGAACTCAAGATGGTGTTACAGAAACCAGATTGAGTTTGGAAACTATATTGTATAGCAATAGATGTCAAACTTTGAAACTGCAAGGCAGGATAATGTTTGGTAAAGAAATGTGCAACCGGTGGATAAAAGAAACTAAGAAGGGTCAAGAACCGGTTATAAAAAGAAATACCTTTGAAATATGGTAAAGACCGGTCAGTCAGAAGAGAACATTATGACAAGTTCAAGAACCAGTTGATAAATAGAACCTTAGGAACAAGGTAAAAAATGGTTTCGTAAAAGAAATATTTGAAACAAGGTCAAAACTATATTTCCATATAGGTTTAAGAATTATTTTCTCTCTCTTCCTTGATGGCAGTGGAGACAGCTCGACGCTTCTTTCCCAACTGCACTGTAGTTCTGGATAAGCTCTTGGAGGACGATAATATAGGTGCTCTGTTATTGGAGAAGGGCACTCCAGAGGAACAGAGGATGAAAAGAATGCGCTACATGGAACTCAAGGAAGATGTGATGAAGGCATTCAGCAAAGACATAGCTGAAAATAACTGGACAAACATATCATCGTCTTCCTCTTGCTCGTCTTCTCCAAGGATGGGTAAAATTCACAAGGTTAGGAAAAAAAATTGCTATTAAGCTATCTTTTTAACCTTAAAAATTAGAAAGTTTCTTGTAGGTACCTTAAAAATTGCTCGTCTTTCGTGCTTTCTTATTTATCTCTTTGTGAAGTACCTAGTGACGGGAAGCATATAACTTGTAGCTAAATGCTCATTGTCCTGTAATATAATGTGTTACATTTTGAATTTCACTTGGCAAGAGTTGAAATGAAAGTGGATTATTTGTTAAGCAATTTTGAATTCCCTTGGTTTTGTCAACCCACAGAAGCTTTCTGGTGAAAAAAAAGAAGTTATTTTACAAATTATTGGTTACATATATATAAGTTGGTGAAATTATCAATTTTTGTGACTTCTTTGTTATCCTCAGGTTTGTTTAGATGTAAATGCACTGATGTGGGAACCTCTAGCCGCCTTTTTCGACCTACTTGAGTTTATTTAAATAACATAATTTTCCCACCATCCCGTAAAGATAGATTTGCTTTCCTTTTCATTCGTCTCAAATTATAAGCAATTTTCCTTGTTAAGAGTATAGTTGATTTCTTAATCTTTTAACGTCTCTGTTTAATTTTTCTTGTCATGAACAAATATGAGTTACTCCCATTTAAATAATTATTTACTGTTGGAG